CAAAATTCACTTTACTCCAGCAGGAACCAGGACATGCACTGGAACAATCCTGCTGTCCAAAGGCCATGGGGGATGTTTGCCTGTTCTGGAGCTGAGGACACACAATGGCTTTGCCCCAGGACAGGGATTCCTGTTTTAAGAGGGACAGTGCTGCTGGAATTGTGGTGGGCAGAGAGGAGAAAGTGATGGCAGTGGATAATTGTTTTTGTGGAAGTTTGGCTGCTGTTTGATCAGAGTGTGTGGATTCTCCCCTGGAACTGAACCAGCAGCGTGTCCTGTTGTGGTTCCAAAGGAGAGCAAACGGGGCAAAGCACGTGTTTCCCCCTCAACCTGATGGCTGTTCTTTCCTGTGTGCTTTGTCCTGAACCCCCAGGGAGGCCCAAGGGGGTGAAGGAGCAGGATGTGTACATCTGTGACTACCGCCTGGACAAGTCAGCTCACCTCTTCTACAAGATCCACCGCAACCGCTACCCCGTGTGCACCAAGCCCTACGCCTTCGACCACTTCCCCAAGAAACTCACCCCCAAGAGAGACTTCTCAGTAAGTGGGGGTTCTCTCAGCTCCCTCACCTGTCGTTAGAAGGCTGGACAGGGTTTTGGAAAGCCCCTGAGTGTTGGTGAAGGAAGCTTGGTGAGCCCAAGGGAGCTGACCCCATAGGTGGGGATCAGCCTCTGCTCCCAGCGACAGGACGAGAGGAAACGGCCTCAAGCTGGGCCAGGGGAGGGTCAGGTTGGACAGCAGGAAGAATTTCTTCATAGAAAGGATTGTCAGGTGTTGGAAGGGGCTGCCCAGGGAGGTTTGGAGTCCCCGTCCCTGGAGGTGTCCCAGGAAGGACTGGTCGTGGCTCTCAGTGCTCTGGGCTGGGGGACAAGGTGGGGATGGGGCACTGAGTGGGCTGGATGATCTTGGAGGGCTTTTCCAGCCTTAACAATTCCATGATTCTGTCGGCATGCACAGTCTGGGGGAAAAGCTGGCTTGAAAGCAAGCTGGGAAAGAAAATGAGTGTAACAGAACCTGCAGTTGAGAGGCAAAGAGGTGCTGAAGGGGTGGGGATGGGTGAGCTCAGAGATGATCTCCAGGGCAGCACTGCCCTGACTGAGCAGAGATCTGCAAACCTTCTGTTCTCCCTGGAGCAGAGCTTTTTGTAGTGGCTTTGGAGGTGGTTCCAAACTTGTGCTGTGCAGAAAGCAAAGGGGATTTGTACCACGATGGTCTGTGGCTTGAAATTTATTTAGAAGATAGGAAAAATGGAGTAAGTCTGGCTCTGATTGTCCTTATTACGTGATTATTCCTTCTCCTTTGGAGTTGTCTGATGTGTGAGACACGCCAGCATTCCCAGGGTGTCCTGCATTGGTATTTCCAGAGTGTTTGATAGACCAGCACTTTCTTCCACTGTGAATTTGCTTTGGTATTAACCACAATCTTTGTTGCTGTTGCAGCCTCATTATGTGCCAGACAACTACAAGAGAAATGGAGGCAGGTGAGTGTCACCTCCCAGATTGTTTGGGGATGAGAGATGAGAGAATCCTGTTTGTGGTGTTCACTCTCCTCCTGCCCATTTCCCCTGGGGGTTGTGGAAACCTCGAGTTTAAATTATTTAGAGCTCTCTAAGCTTCCAGAGAGATAAAAGGGAACAAGGGAGGAGGGAGAGCCTAGAGAAGTGTTCCTTAATAATGCACATCAGGAAGAGAACAGGAGCCATTTGAAAGTCAGCAAAAGCAGCTGAGTGTGGAGCTGCCCAGCAGAGGAGGCTCCTCCTTCCCACATGGAGGAGCCCAGATCCCAGTTGTGCTGTTCCATGTCTGTCAGAGGCTGTAAAAACACCCTCTGAGGGCCGTGGCTGTTCCAGGAAAGCCCCAGTGAGCTCTGGGCTGGGCTTCTGGAGACAAAAACCTTCCCAAATGGAAATAAGAAGCCATTTGTTTGTCACAGCTGCGTTTGTGGGGTGCAGACAAGGCTGGGGGGGACCTGGGGGTGTGAGGGGTGCAGGGACTGAGGGAAGTGCTGAGCTCCAGGGAGCAGTCCTGGCCTCGCCGGGAATCGGCCTCTTGGGTGAGGGTCTGAAAAAAACCTCTTCAAACCCTTCTCCTCCAGGTCATCCTGGAAATCAGATCGCTCAAAACCACAGATCAAAGACTTAAACCAAGAGGAGGATGCTCTGCCCCTGATGGAGGAGGTGCTAGGAGCCCCAGAGCAGGTGCCAGGGGAGCTGCCCGGCCCCGAGGAGCCCGACAAGGAGCCGGTGCCCAGCGAGGGCTGCGAGGCAGAGAAGAAGGGGGAGGAGGCCCCCTCGGACACGAGGCAGCTCTGCAGCCCCGAGGAGAGGAGGCACCTCCAGAGGGAGAGGCTGAACCAGATCTGCTCAACCTCACTAGAGAAAATCCCAGGGAAAAACGTGAGAGTTTCAGGCTCAGGTCTGGGTTTGCTTCGCTGGGCACTGTGTTGGTAGAATTATTGTGGTTTATTTAAAAATTTATTCATTTATTTATTTATTATTTAAACAAAATTTATTTGTTTAAAATAATTATTTATTGCTGTGGGCATTAGGAAACAACCGGTGGGGTTTTTTGCAAGCAGTTTTTCCTTTGCAACAGAAATGCACCTAAAACCCAAGGGAAGTTTCTTACCACTTGACACTGTTTTGTATAATATTTTTGTATAATATTTTTTGTATAATATTTTTGTATAATATTTTTAATAACCCCCCCCATCATTCCACGTTTACAACTGGGGAACTAACAGATATACCAAAGAAGAGAATTTGGAGAGTCTCTTTTGACCTTTTATGAGCTTTTCTTGGGTTCTGAGCACCTGCTGGAGGTGTTGTCTGAGCTGTGGGTGCTCTGGTTAAATGTGTCTCTGCTTTCAGTTTTAAAGCCTGGGATGAGCCCTGCCCAGTCTCTTCCATGCCCTGGCAGTGCCCAAACAGTCATGGACTGATGAATAATCAGGGCTGGGAGGGTCTTTGGGGGTTGTCTGGTCCAGCCACGGCTCAGGGCTAAATCCAGTCTCGGGTGTTTTGCATATATTTGGATATTGGATATCAGTGTGGATGGAAATACCCCTCAAATACCCAGGAATAAAGGAACAGGAAAGCTGCTCCTCGTGTCCAGGACAGGGCTGGACGGGGCGGGGATGGGTCCCAGCTCGGACTCGACGGTCCGGGGGGTGTTTTCCCCCCTTCCCGCTGGTGCAGCACTTCCCAATCCCCTTTCTCACCCCGGCCTGTGTTTCCTTGCAGCCATCGACGTCACGTACTTGCTGGAGGAGGGATCGGGCAGGAAACTGCGGCGCCGCACCCTGAGCATCCCCGAGAGCAGCTTCAGGAAGTGACGGCGGGGCCACCCCAGCTCGGGGGCTGTGACCTGGGGGGCTGCCGAGCCCCGGGAGCCGCGGCCCGACCTCCTCCGAGCCGGCCCGGGGGGAGGAGGCGGCCGCGAAGGGACAGAACTCCAAACAGCAGCACTTAAAGGGGCCGGGGCAGCGCCCTGCCCTGCTCTGCAGTGCTCTTGGTGTGTGTGTTGGTGGGCGTGCCTTGTATTGATGTTAGGTACTGAGGAAACCTCGTGGTTATATTGTCCAGGATGGTCAAATTTAATTTATTTTTTGCTTGATATTCCCACTCAGAGGAAAAAAAAAACAAAACAAAACAAAAAAAATAATAAAAAAAAAAGAAATTTAAAAAAAAAAAAAAGAGAGAGAGAGAAAAAAAACTGGGGAGGTGAGAGGAGAAAAAAGGACTGAGTTGCTCTGAGGGGGGTGTTCCCCACGGCCACTGAGAACCTGGGGCTGCACCAGCACCGCCAGGGGAGGGAATCCAGAGGGGAGGGGAGAGGCCCAGTGGCTCAGAGTGAAAGGCTGCCCCAGAAAAGCCTCTGATTTGCACAAGTTCCAGGAAGAGCGAGCCCGGGGGTCCCGTGGGCCGGTCCCTGTGCTCTGTGCTCTGTGCCGGGGAGGAGCTGGGCAGGAGCTGGGATGAGGCACCGGCTGTGCAGGGGGAGGGGAGGGAGGGGCGGGGCGTGAGGGGTTTTTTTGGGGGTTGTTTTCGTTCTTTTGGGTTTTTTTTCCCCCCCCCGCTTTTTTTTCTGCAGAGGAGTTTTATAAGAAGCGAGTCGGATCCTGACGCCGCCGTTGCTGTTGGTTCTTTTTTGGATAAGCTGTGGTTTTCTCGTGTGTCTCGTGTGTTGTGCAAATTTAAAAAAACCTGTTGGGAAGGAAAAAAAAAAAAAAGGAAAAAAAAACGAAAAAAAAAATGACAAAAACAAGGACAAAAAAAAAAAAAAAGAACTACAAAACCAAGGAACCCTTCACTCCGTGCCCGTCAGGCAGTATCCGAGCGAGTGTTTGTCGTGAGCTGTAGAATATATCGATGCTAACACTACCCTCGTGTGCTGGTGGACAGCTGAACGTCCTGGCCAGGGGTCCCACACCATTCCCACCCCTGTTATCCCAAAATCCCGGAACCCCCGGGGCGGGATGGGGGTTGGGAGGCACCCGCTGCCCCTGGACGTGGCTTTGCTTTCCTGTCTCAGACGTACACATGCATATAAACAGTCCTGTTTTAGGTGTTCTTATAAGAAATCCAGTTTTTAATGTGCCAAGTTGTATATATCTGCTGCGTGGATGTAAAGCAATACCGTAGTTACATGTTCCTTTTTATGGACCAAGCTCGTCCTACTGTACATTCTTGTTATTATTATAATTATTTTACTCTTAGTGGAACATGACTCATTCCATTAACTTTTACGTGTTGATTTCAAAAGAGGAGGAACAAAAAAAAAAAAAAAAGAAAAAAAAAAAGGCAAAAAAAAAAGCAAAAAAAAGGGAAAAAAAAAAGAAAGGAAAAAAAAACCCCTTTGAGAAAAAAAAAATATTTTATTAAAAAAAAAAAAGAAATAAGAAAATAGTTTGGAATATTTTCTTACTGTAGAGAAGCACTGTACAGTACCAGGAACCCTGAGTATAAAATACTCGTGCGTGTAGTAGGAATATCGCATGTCCAGACCCTCGAGTTGTCTCATTTAGTTTCAAACAGAAAAAAAAAAAAAAAAATCATTGTCTCCAATGGTGTTAAACACTAAAAAAAGTTTTTAAAAAAAAAAATTAAAAAAAATAAAGTGCGTACAGAAGCGAGACACTAGCTCTGTCATTTTATCTTTCTTTTGTTGAAAGACTAAACGAAATGTTTTTTAGACAATCAAATGTTAGGTAAGTGCAAAAGAACTTGTTTTTTCTTACTGGTGTAGAAATTAATGACTTTTTTTATTTTTCGGTTATTTTATAATACTGAGCAGACCCGTTGTGTCCCCAGGATCGCCGCCGGAGCCAGGAAGCACTACGTTACTGCAAATAGAGCTGAACCTTAGTCTGCATGGGTGTAGGCTGTGTGATTGCTGAAAATAAATGCTGCTAATATATTTCCTTTTTACAAAGCATATCTAAATAGATCATTGTTTTGATGTTAATCTTTGTAAATTATGTATTACCAATTTTAACATTGGATGTAATTGCATAAAAAGCCTGCATCTCAATCCTGAGAGTCTAGTATTAAATGGAAAAAAAATCTTTTCCTACGGCTGGCTCGGGGGGTTTTCTTTGCCGTGGTGGGTGGGATGGGGATGTGCCGAGGGCAGGATGGGTCTGGACAGGCTGGATCCACGGGGTGAGGGACAAGGGCCAGGAGCTGCCCTTGGGTCACAACAACCCCGTGGGACGCTCCAGGATGGGGCAAGAGGGGCTGGGAAAGCTGGGAAAGGCCCTGGAGGTGCTGGAGACAGAGGCTGGACGTGAGCCCAGGTGGGCAGGGAGGGCAGTGGCACCTCCTCTGGAGCAGCCACGGTGGCCGCAGGGCCAGGGCAGTGCCGGGCACCTCAAACTCTGGGGTCAGTTTTGGGGCCCTCGTGACAAGAAGGACACAGAGGGGCTGGAGCATGTCCAGGGAAGGGAACGGAGCTGGGAAGGGGCTGGAGCAGCAGGAGAGGCTGAGGGAGCTGGGGGGGCTCAGCTTGGAGAAAAGGAGGCTCAGGGGGGACCTTCTGGCTCTGCAAACCCCTGACAGGAGGGGGGAGCCGGGGGGGGTCGGGCTCTGCTCCCAGGGAACAAGGGATGGGATGAGAGGGAACGGCCTCCAGCTGTGCCAGGGGAGGGTCAGGTTGGACATGAGGAGGAATTTCCTCTTGGAAAGGGTTGTTAAGGATTGGACTGGGCTCCAGGGAGGTGGGGGAGTCCCCACCCCTGGATGTGTCCAAGGAAGGAATGGACGTGGCACTGAGTGCTCTGGGCTGGGGGACAAGGTGGGGATGGGACACCTCAGTGATCCTGGAGGTGTTTTCCAGCCTTAATGATTCTGTGATTCTTTGATTCCACGATCCCAGGGCTCTGAGGGTCTGTCCTTGCCCTGGCTCGACCTCCTGCTGCACTCCAGCTCCAATTCCCACCCTCCCAAGGCTCTGCCCCAGCTCCCAAACACCCACGTGCCGGGTGGGTGGTGGCACTTTGGAGGATTTAATCTGGTGCCAGTGGCTCTGCTGTGGTCCAGAAGTGGCAGGAGGGACAACGGCAGCACAGTCCCCGTGTGGGGTTGGAGGGTGCACAACCACAGACAGGATGGGACAGGAACCATTAAATCCACAAATTCTGTTCCCAGGATATAAACCCCGGTGCCTGACTCTCTATGGCCGTGAAAACGCTGGGCTTGACCCCTACACTCACCTTCCTTCTAAACCCGAGGCTCCAGCCAAGCCTTGCAGGGCTGTTTAATTAAAAAAAAAATAGAAATACCACCTGGCTCCTTCCCCTCCTGGTGTGACCCCATTTCCAAGTCCAGGAGCAGCTGTGGGTTTCAATCAAACCTCCTCGAGGCGAGTCGAGTAACATTCCAATTAGGATATGATGTCCCTCGTCTGAGTAAAAATTCCAGAGAGGGAAGTGAGAAGGAGAACAGAATAAAAGGAGAGCGGCTCTGTCCTGACAGCAGGTCCCAGCCCGGGCGCTGACACAGCGGCTC